AGAGGCCATAAGAAGATCATTTGTAACCTTCACTAAAGCTGTTTCTGTGCTGTGATGAGCTCTGAAACCTGACTGAAACTCTTCAAATAAACCTCTGCAGATGATCTGTTAGCTGTTTGACAACTACTCTTAGGTTGATCATATTTAAGATTGAAGCATTAATTAATGGCAGGACTTCTTTGAGCAGTCTTGTAGGAATGGGGTCTGACAGACACGTTGAAACCTTTTCTTCAATCAGTGATGAATATAAGATGTTCTAGCTTTCTTATAAAGCAGGAAACTATTTCTCCAGGCTAAATGATGATCTTCTAAATTTGTGATATGTCATTTTCTCTCCAGCTTACGAGTTATGTGCTTTAAGGTGCGTGTTTGAGAATTATACCAGGGATCAAGTGGTATGATTGTCACAGTACTATACCTGGTTACTGTATATTGCACCTCTACTGAATCTCTCCACTCTCCCTCTCTCTTTACGGTGTTTCAGAGTGGATTTTAACACCAAGAGAAGAAAATAAGCATTTCTTTTAATCTTCCATCTAGCCAGGACATATATTCTTTCTATACTTCTAATGACATGAATAATGCCAATTCCACAGGAAAATAGTGGAGAGTTGGAATCATTTTAATTTCATTGCTCACCAGCCCGGCAGTGGGAATTTTTCTGGGCATTGGAACATCGACAATGGGCAGCTCAGCATGTTTGGGGTACGCCTTAGCCAAGCAGTTGCTGGGTGGACTGCCTTTTGGTACGATAGCTGTGATCTTCACCCTCTCACAACCCTTCACAGAGCAGAAGGCAAACGTCTCTCTGTGATTGTGGGCTTTCACCTTCAGGAAGAGGAGGCTGCAGGACACACAATGAATGACAGGCATCATATGCTTTCCCTGACACTTAGCAACCAAAAACAAATCACACTGTTAAAGGTATTCCTGACATCTGACATTGCAATGCACAGAGGTTTCACAGTACACTCATGCCATCTAACCCTGAGCAGTCAGGTGATCAGTAATACCTACAGGTACACTTTTTTGTGAAATCTTACAGTGCCATCCATCCATCCATCCTCTTAACAGTATATCAGTATATATCCAGGGTATGCCCAGCTTTACGTGTGCTTAGTCACAAAGGTCACAGCTTTGCATCTTTTATTGTAGGAATGCCACATTTCACTTTGGGCTGATGTAGCTCTTATTTTACTGTAAGAGTGATCTTTTCTGTGTGTCTAATCCCTGTATATTTTTCCTAGTTGTCCTACTTCTGGTAATGAGTGTAATGTAGTGGTCTGTGCATGTGTCGGACCCAGTGTCTTCTTCCCAGTAGAAATATCCTCTGGCCAAGTGCGAGTGGTTGATCTTCTCCTTGTGAGTCGTCCTCACGAAGACGCCAGTCTTGCGGGTTGGTTTGGTCAGCCGATTGTGGATGTCTGACAGGATTGTGAAGGTGGTGCCTTGTGGATAGCAGAGGCCCACATTGATCCAGTCATTCCTGAAACACAAGGGAAACACCAATCCAATCCAATATGATCTGATTTAATTTCAAAAGCAAAAACATGGGGACATCACTATCAGGTATTTTTGTGTAAATGAAACTGAACCTTATGATTTACACAACAACACATGTACAGACTTAAAGTCAACATGACATAAGCTGATGTTAAACGAGCTACTGTGGCTGATTTCTAGCCTGCAGACACTACGAGGCAGGTTGAAAGGTGGAAATCAGCGAGCGACTAATGAGTATTACCTTTAATATCAGCGTAAATTCTAATTGACTGGTACCTTGATGTAACCTAAAACTGTAACCACCACAGCTTACCAACCTGTCCAACAAAATGCATTACCATAAACAGAATGCTGTTGCATGAACTGCCAAGTATATTCATGCAACCTTCAAATAATGCAGAGTTCAACTTGCTGTCAAACATATTTCATTATATGAAAAACCATTCACATCTTATACTGATGCAATATCTGATTTAAAAACTCTAAAATGATTTAAATGCAGTCCTTATATTGACTGTTTATCAGATGTCACTGAGCACCTGACATTTCTCTGACCTTCCTCTTAATTTAAAATTGGTTTAACACTGAAAAGAAAAGCAGTGATGTGAACAAGTGGCTTCAGATGAACTAAGTGCAAAGTAACAAGCCTGCTTTGAAAACGTAAGGAGTGGAACGTAGATGTATTGCTGTTCAAATGTAGGGAGTGTTGCATAATGACTGAAACTAGCACCACTGGGCTGTGAGGTCAGTTCCTTGATCATTAATGTGCAAATCGTCATGACCATTAATTAACAACAACTAATCAAAGCCCACTGATCACTGATCAAAGACCAAATGTACCGTTACAAACTGTCACGGTGGGGAAACCTGCAGTCGGCTGAGACTGAAGAAGTCACCTGGATGAGTGACGAAACGTTTCTCCCACTGAAAACGTCCAGATGAGCAGACTCAACCTTTTGGGATTGTTAGAGGGTAAGATGCAGGGCGCACCATTTAAACCTCACCAGTCTATCACAGATATGCATTAGTATTCAAAAATCAAAGTGTTTAATTTAAACACTGTGGCATGGGGCTGATTCTCAGTCATTTGTGTGCAGCACACAGAATGCACGTTATTTGCATTTACATTGCAAAACGTTCTGATTGCCTTAATGACTCTTCTGTCAGCTGCTCAGCTTAACTATTCAGGATCTGACTTCACAAAGCCACGCATGCTGTTTATCAATCATCAGTTCCCCTTAGTGGTCTGCTGAAAGGTGCCAGCTCTACTTAAAGACTAAATACATGAAAAAACACTAAATAAGGTCAAATATTACGTGAAATAAAACCTGCCATATAAACGGACTCAAATCAGATCTCTTTAACTCAAAAGCTTCTTCAAAATGAATCTTCTACAAGATTTTTTGTCAATATTTTTTAAAACAAACAAACGAAAACGGTGTCATTATATGAAAGTCAGACAAAAACATAATTAAACTCGTCAGTTTACTCTCAAAACAGAGGTTTTGAGTCAAAACAGGAACAAGATGTGTTTCGCTTCTTTTTACAGAAGTTTGCCTCACTTGCTAAACAGCACAATGAGCTGTAGATGGAGCCATTGTTCTTTGCACAATCAGTGAAAATGATTCGTATTAGTTCTGTCATCTTTTGATTCAGGCCATCAGGGATTAACTGACAAGCTTGAAATAACAAACAGACTTCATGCAGTTTAAATAGCTCAGGGCCGCACCATGAAAGCCAGCTGAAGAGAGGCCAAAGCTCAAAAAGAAACTTTTCCTATTTTTGCAGCGAATCGTTGGAAAGAATGTTGAGAGGTGAAGGGGCTGATGGGCTCCATTTCATTCAAATTAATAACAGAAATCCTCTAAATATAGACTCTAGTTTCAAAGCAGAATCCATGTGTTCAATAAACTCCCATCATGTTTAAAGGGGGTTTATTGTCATTTCCTGTTCCAGTTCTTCAAATCTTCAAACAAATTTGGAGAATTGGAAGAGCTTTGATTATGGCCACCACACAGATAATTCCAGGTCTGTCAGTTAGGAAACTTCCTAAGCAAAATGGACTGTTGGAATGTAGGTAGGTGTCAGGCTACTGTGGTGAGTCGACCCTTGACCTTAGCACAGAAAAATGAAACAGTTAAAGTAATTGGGAACATGATGGGAGTTTATTGAACACATGGATTCTGCTTGAGTTCTCTCAACTATTTCCTCCAGCTTCAGCCAAAGATTTGATCAATTTATCTTTTTTAACGTTTAGTTAAAACAACTGTGCTTGACTTGTGCCACGATATGCGGAGGCAGATTGTTTGGATTCTTTTTACATGAGGACCCAAATGCAAACATGACAGACAGGGGGGGCCTGGAATAATCACGAGGAGGGGAACATGGGAACTAAATGTTGGAAAACTCAGACATGAGGATCAAACGCACAGAGGGGCACAGAGGACAAAGACACAAGGGGAACATAAAAAACAAACTCAGAGACGTAATAAGAATGAACTCAGAACTAACCAGTGAAAATAATAATAATACATCATGTGACGTTATGCACCGTAGAGGCTGAAATACCCTGTGAAGTCGAGGCACACAACTGATGACGTGTTCCGATGGTAAAGCTTCTGGGCTGCTTTCTCACAGCAGCCGTCCCTCGAGACTTTCTCCATTTGAAGCAATGCATCATCGGGGACTGTAACATCCAGTCCTTTTATGCTTCTAAACTAAGACTAAAGTTACTGGATTAGACACACTTAAACTTTGTCAGGATGGCGCTATGTTGAGCTCTACTGCTATTATGAGGAACCAAATTTATGAAAAGTCTGTGAAAAAATAACCTACCATTATACTTCCATCAGACCAGGACACCCAATAGCACAAGAGTAAGTATTCAAAGGAAATTGAAAACACTGAAGAACCATGTTAGCTTCTCTTAATTGGCTCCCAGGATAGAATTTCAAATCTTTCTATTTATATACAAAGTGTTTAATGACCAACCTCACACAGTGTGTGTGGTACAATGGTCCAACAGTACAGACACTGGTGCTGTTAACGTGCTTTGAGTAAAAAAACGTTTCTAAGTTTATTCACTGACTTGTTGAAGTTGATGAGCCAGATGGTGACCTCAGCAGGTGCCGCCTGGTCCCAGTGGATGGTGTAGCCTTTGGCCAGGGTGACCACTGGCTGGAACTGCTGGTAAGCTTTCCGCTTGTCCAGGGCGCCTTCAAGTGTTAGGGGTCGATCAGGGTATTCATCCCTCACTATCTGCATGTTAAGGCTGGCAGGGTTTCGTGTTTGAACATAGATCTGAAAAAAAAGGAAAAGAATGCATTGCATATAATAATAAAATCATAGAAGTACCTGATTCAGTAGAAGTATCACGTTTTAGTTATTCAATTAGTATAGCCACTCTGACTTCACTCTGTGACAATCCTTTCTCTTCCAACCACTTTGTTCACTCTATAGATGTTCGGTGCTCTGTGTTGTAAACCCGACACCCTCATTGTGGCGTCTCTACTTTACAATATAAAGTGCTGTGAGGTGACTGTTGTGAATTGGTACAGGTCACTATGTTTGTTCATACACTGAATACCTGTACATGATGCACACAGATATGGATCCAGATTCAACACTAGCCTCTAATTCACTTTGAAAGATGGGAAGTCATTGGTTCACTTTGCTTGTGCTACTGCAATATAGGTGTCAGCTAATTGAATCACATTTACTTAAAATGCCCAGAAGCGTGAGGTTGACGCTTGTGCAGCTGGTTGGTTCGATTTAATATGAAGGAGATGAAGTTGACCTTGGTGGTGTGCAGTGGCATGAGTCACTAGTTGTTGTTGCTATGATGAGCCCCCCAGGAAAGATACCACACCAAGACATCAGGCACACACCCACTGAAGTAATACGTGTATTTGAATCCTGGCTAAGAACTGAAGTGCCTCTGGTTTAGTGACTAATGACAACCTTTCTAAAACAGGTTGTCATTAGTCACTAAAAAGGGAGAAAGGTGCTAGAGTGTGGTCATGGTGCATTTTAGTGTAAGAAGGTCTGTCCTTGGGATTTTGTGTCCCACTGGGTTTGACTGCCACCAGTCAACTGTCCAGCTGTCGAAGCTCCTGCTCCTTGTTGGTCCGGGCTGGTGGCTGGTGTACATTCCCTTCTGGGCCCAGTTTAATGTAAGGGTAAAGCTTTCTGTGGCTTGGCTTCTTTTTTTACACAATGAGGTTGCTGGCAATATGTCCAACCCATGTGCAGTTTGGGAGGTTTGTCAGTTTAAGTACTATGTTTCCTTTAACCTAGGTGGCCTGCCTAACATGACCTCCCACCTAGGCTAAAGAAAACATTTTACATTGGACTGTCCTTTTTCTAGCCAGAAGGTTATTGAACTCCTTTACATTTGGGGCATTGGTGTGAACCAGGAAGTATATGCATGCTAGTGGGCCCTGTTTGGAACACCTTTTGGCCTCCAACATGCTCCAGGATCCCAGATGTTCTGCCTGTGCATACAAAGCGGGAGGTGATGGAATCGCTGAGGAGGCTGAATGACAAGTGAGGTCAGCTTATGCCCTTCACTCTTTTTCAGCTAGCATTTAATTATAATTAATTATAATTATGAGAAGTCAACACCTGACTATTTGTGTTGTGGAGTATAAACAAATACAGCTTTGCACACAATGACTGTTTGTGATCGAGGCTCATTGTGAGGGAATGCAAAATCCATTGTGTATTTGTTGGCTTTATTGCACAAAGAAGCAGACATTTCCCAAAACATATTCAATAACTGGTGTTAAGAAGGACTTGAAACAGCACTTTATTCTTATCCCTTCTGACTCTTTTTTTTCAAGAGTTTTCAGATACCCCAACAAACAAGTTTCATATAAATGAAAATGCACACAATCAAGCAGAAATGACATTTGTGTTTGTGAAGACTGATATATGAAGATGAATGAATGAGGAATCGGGTGTGACACCTGCTGACCCACCTGTGCATAGTGCCCACTGCAGATAGCACCCTTCCAGTCAGGCACATCAATGCAGTCAGGGTGACGAAGCAGCCAGTTGTCTTCTTTAACCAGGAAAGCTCCGGGATACTCACTGACCGATCCATCAATATCATGGAAGATGGTCGTCTTGTCCCCGTCCATCTGCATTTTACTGAACCAGGGACCCGGCTCCCCAAAAAATACCCGAGATGTAATCTATAAGAGAGGGATGCATTAGTCTAGAGCCATTTACTGTGGCTTCCTGTGGTGCTACGCATCATTCACATTCAATATTCCAAATGTGTTCAGTGTTTCTTTATTTTCAACATTTAAAACATGGCTCTATATTTGAATATATTTGACATTTCGCTGAGAAATATCCAGAATTATTCAGTCGATCTGATAATCTACCAAAGTGGAACATACAGGACAATGGAACTGGAATACAGTTTTCAAATAACAAGAGTATTTTAAAATGCTTTTGTGTAAAGCTACAGTTGTCGGTTTTTCTTCCGAATGAAGCAAAGATTCAAGTTTGTAAAAACGTGTTAAACCAGTGTCTCTGGTTTTGTGTATTTCACACAGAAGTGGACTCACAGGTACATGGTCAAAGGTGATGTTGGTGACATTATTGTTGGGGCAGCTCTGCCACGAGTTGTTGAGCCTGAAGCCAAAGGCGCTGGTGTGCCTTCCGTTTAGTGCCGTGTATTTCCTAAATGTACAGTTCTGTACATTGATCGGCCCATCGTAGATCTGCATGCCTCGGATTGGAAAATCACTGCTCAAACACAGATGCACAAACGTCGTCATTGATGTTTGGCTCTACATACACGGGAACAGAAGCTTCAGAAAGTCACTGAACTGAAAAGAGACGCGCAACTACAGCACAATGTGTTTCTTTGAGACAAGCCTTCAAGGAGCTATAAAGGCAAGTTTTATTTTCACGTGCAGCAAAATGCATGGCTGTATGACACATGTAGTCAACATCATCAAAGATGTTGTGTGTTAGCTAACTACAAGAGAAAGTACTACACAAAAATAAAGAGTAACCAGCATGTCAGCAAGTCTTTGGTGAAACATGTTATTAACTGGCTCTGTGGGAGAACTTTAATCAGAACCTACTCTTTTGTTATACTAATTCTTCTTGTGTAGATTTTTTGAGGACGTTCTGTTATTAAATTGCATTTAAAAAGGATGCATCAAGTACACATTTTGATGAAAAAAAAATGTCCACAAATGACTCCCCACTGTGGGTGTCACTAAAAAGCTTTTCTTTACAGCAGCTCTCAAGAAGTGGTCAGCAATGCAGAACATGAGAGCACAAAGTGTCAGAGAATGTTAGTCTGAACTGCAGATTAAGGCAGAAGTGGTTTCAATTATATTCATTTTTCCAATAAAGGGATCTCTAATAATACCACTGGTGAGACGTTCTTTTTGTACACTGCCCAGGTGGCCAGAGCACGGCACTGATTTCTGAGCATACAAATCTGGCTCTCACACATGCCAGCCTCGATTAAACTGTTATTTGACACAGACTAAAAAAGTGCAGTCAAATAAGGTGTTAACTGCAATGGCCACACATACTTTGTTTTTGCAAAACAGGTTCTTATGAACCGAGTAGTTCCAGAGTCATTACTGATGCAGAAAAACTAGTCCATGCATTTGTTACTTTGAGTCGGGACTACTGCAAATTTTTATGATCCCTATAATTATCATGCAGTTAAAAGCTACCTGGAAAGCATTCAAATGCTGCTGCAATGGTACTGACTAGAATTACAAAGAGAGACCACTTTCTCCCACATTAGTTTCTTGTGATTGGTTCCCTGTTAAATAGAAACATGGAATTAAAATACTTTTCAGAAATAAAGTCTTAAATGACACGGTTCCATCTTGAAGACCTCATATGTTATTATGATTTTAATACAGCATTATGCTCTGTGGGTGAAGGCTGAAGTCCTCAAAGTAAACACGGGAGGCTATCAGGACTTGCTCACGAGGAAATAGCTCCTTTTGGGTTCAGAAGACCGACAGACTCAAGTTTTCTCTCTCCCATAGTTTGTGTTTTTCCTCATTTGTCTTTACTCCTTCTTTTGTCTCGTCTTTTCCCTTCCCCTCCACCCAGTCATAGCAGAAGGCTGCCTGGACCTGCTTCTGTACTCTCTTCTTGTTAAAAGGGAGTTCTTCCTCCCCACTGTCACCAAGTGCTTCATAAATGGTGTCATAATACAATTTGAAAAACATTGTAAAAATACAGTTGTGACCTTGTAATAAATAAAACTGATGTGAACAGAATATTATAAGCATAGTGAAGTAAATCAACCTTACCACGACATAGTGACAATGTAAACATAAAAAACCACAATATCTGTGTTTTTAAAGCAATTATTAAATGTACATTTTGCTTTTCAAACAGAGGTTTTTTTATCAGTTGCTAAGAGTAAAAAAACTAAAAATAAAACTTCTGAAACACCACTATTGAGAAGAGAGTTTGTGAGCTTAAAAACAAAAATAAAATTAGCTGTAATCACCACTTACATGCCACGTGGCAGGGTCCTGTCAGTAAGGTCAGGACCCCCAGGGCCCCAAATCCTCTTGTCTGGGAAAGGCATACCACGATTGTCACTTTCACCCACAAAAAGTGAATTCTTCACCTGCTGATGAGAGCCGTCATCTTCTGGAAATGTGCCTCCACTGCACACAGACATTGTGAGTAAAGTCATGTAGTTAAAATCTGTTTTCTGTTGTTGATTATGTAAAGCTTAAACATCCAAGGCCCTGAAAATATACAATACAACATGCCAAAGCTAAAAAACAATGGAAAAGCACATCACTGTGATTTAAATGCGTGTCAGAAGCTACACACTAACATCTTGGTTACACTCTGCTGTTATAATTGCAGAGTTTATGCATCGGTTATTAAGCAATCCTTGTGCAGCACAGTAAGAATATATGAGTTGGTTCACAAAAGATAAAAAGAATAGTTGTTATTTATAACAAATTAAAATGTAACAGTGTGTGCTTTTCCAAACATTTTAGCTTAGCTGCTATATACAAGCTAACCGGCAACCAAGGTAACATGTAGCAATATGTTCACCAGAAACAGAAGAAATCATTTGCAAGCAGCGTCTCTCAAGGGCACCTGCCTATCTAACATCTGCCTGTAGTTGTGGTCAGAAGTTTACACTCATGTCAGGGTCATTTTAGGATTTCTGGTTTGAATTGTTCCTTTTCAAGGGTTGAATGATCATAGAGCTGGATTCTAAGTATAGTTCACAAATCCCCAACATGGCTGATGTTGGGGATTTGGGAAGGCCTTAATGTTAGCCTGCTTTATCCACTCCAAAACCAGTTTTGATGTATATTTAAAATCACTTTCCTGTTGAGCTTAAAAATGCTGAATTTGGAGCGGAAGCATCTCTCTTGGTCAGCACCCTCTCAGTCCATGGCAATGTAAACGTGCTTCACTGTAGACAGTGACGATAGTGTTCCTGCAGTTTCCAACTCATTGCGAGCTTGAGCCCTTTTGGTTCCTGGGTTGTTCCTGAACATCCAAACCGATTTCCTCTCGTCTCTGGGTGACAGTTTGGGTCTTCTTACAGAGCCAGGCAAAGTTTTGACACACTGACACAACTGTACTCGTGTGCAGTTATTTGAACTGATGATCTCAGAATATGCAGTTGCTTAGAAAACTTTTCAATCAAACTTCTGTTGAGCTCTTAGACTTTCCTATTGTCCTGGGAAGAGAATCTACCAGCTGTTGTCATATTCACTAACGAGGAGTTAATAAGCCTTGCAAACTTAAAAGACATTGTAGAACTTCAGCACGACTTGTTAGTTCCCTAATCCACACACCACTGTGTGGATTAGGGAACATCAAAATTCAATTCAAACTTATGCACCCAATTCTTGGTGTTGTTTTTAAGTCTTTAATGTATGCTACACCCTTGAAATAGAAAAGTTCAAAGACATAATTAAAAGCCTAAAATTACCCTGACATTCATGCCCATGATGCGTGGATGCAAACTTCTCACCACAGCTGTGAGTTATATAACCATAGGAAATTCTAGTATCCATTAAATGCTGTTAGCCCGGATGCCACTGCCCAGGTCAACCTGAAAAATATACTGCAAACACAACTTCAACTTCAGTACACTGCTGAAAAAGTATTTGCCTGACTCATTTCTAATTGGCTCTACCTTTAATTACTTTAATTTAAAACCATTACATAAGCTTTTGCCATGACTGATCTTTGCTACGGATCATGGTAGGGAAAATGCCACTGCATAGGTATCCTGATCCATTTGTGAAGTGTTGGCTGGGTGTTGACTCTTCAAATTATTCCTATGAAGAATAACAATAATGGCACCAGCTAAGCTTCATATGCTTATCTTTATCAGTTAGAAAAACTTCTACATAATTTCCAGACATCATGATGATCAAAACTGGGCATAGATATCATCAAAGAGTCAAATCCTGCCAGTACCCCTGAGTGTTTTGTGGTTGTTGTTCTTAGTCTTTGGTTAAGAGCTTTCTGATTTCTGTATTCTTGTAGTTATGTTTCTGTATTAAATATGGAGTTTCTTTTTAGGTTATATTTAAGTCTCCCTAAAAAGCTGATTCTGTTCATCTGGACGTTGTGTTTTCAGTGGGAGAAACGTTTCATCACTCAGCCGAGTCGCTTCTTCACTTTCAGCTGACTGCAGGCTTGGTCAATGGTCAATTTATGTGAAAAGTCTGAGGAGGGGGCCTAACGACACATCTTTCACCATCATACAATGCTGTGATTGCAACCATTCCCCAAATCTCTGTCAATGGTACTAAGGTGGTGGTTTTCACATCTTAAGGTGTTTTCAATAAATTGCATGCTCAAAAAGTTTTTGTCACTTTATGTCTGTGTGTGTGTGTGTGGGGGGGGCACACACACACACACACACAAACACTGATTTAGTATGGATAGAAGGCTGAACCTTAGGTATTTGCAAATTTAGGTGGCAAAGTATTGATAATGTCTCCTGTCAGGAGAAAACGTTTTGTCAATTCTTGCCATCACACTCCGAAGCTACTTCTCACTCTGCATCAGAGCACGCCTTTTCTAACAGGATCCTGAGGAGACTCCATATAAGGCATTTTCCAATTAGGCAGAGAGAGAGAAAGTGAGCAGGAGAACAATAAACGCATACAACAGCCCTTTTATTTCTAACATGATTTAATAAAGGGGGAGTCTTACCTTGCTAAAGTGAGGCCAATGCCATTATCAGCAAATCTACCGAAAAAAGGAATATTATCATTAGAAGCACAGAAACACAGGAACAATGTGATGTTCCCATGGACACACACACACACACACACACACACACACACACACACACACACACACACACACACACACACACACATTAAGAGACTAAAGCAGATAGCAAGTTATTGTTAGATGGGAATGAACGTGCAGAAAAAACACTTGCTTTGTTCGACATGCATCATTTTCAGTGACATTCACTTGCACTAGAAGTTGATCAACTTTACTTATTCACTTGTTTATTTTACTTGGGTGACAAGTAAAATAAACAAGTAAAATCACTCAGTGTGTGTATCACTCACTGGCAGTCATCTAACCACACATCCCCTCCTCTCAGCCAAGCTCCATGGTACTGGTTCTTATAGGCAGTGAAGTGATGGATGAGAGCTGGGACTCTAGGTTTGAACGGGTCAGAATCCTGATGGGGGCCATACCTAAACAACAGAAGGACATACAGTGCTAATATTTAACAATATTTTTCAAGGCTGCAAAGGAGCAATTTATATAAACTGTAATGTTGTAGCTTTTTAAATGGTCATTCATCCATCCATCCATTTTCTTTTGCTTATCTGGGGCCAGGTTGCTTGGGCAGCAGCCACAGCATTGAAGCCCAGACGTCCCTCTCCCTAGCCACCTCCAACATCTTATCTGGGGGAACACTGAGGTATTCCCAGGCCAGTTGAGAAATACAGTTTCTCCAACGTGTCCTGCGTCTGCCCTGGGGCCTCCTCCTGGTGGGACATGCCCAGAAGACCGAACTCAGGAGGTGCCCAAGATGCATCTATGTGGAGGAGTAGCTCGTGACCATAGGTGAGGGTAGGGACATCAATCTGGTAAATCGAGAGCTTCGTTTAAATACTCAGCTCTCTCTTCACCATGACAGACCAGTGCAGCGCCCGCATCACTGCAGTTGCAGCAACAATCCGTCCGTCCGCTCCCCTGTCTCCACACTTGTGAACAAGACACTGAGACACTTAAACTCCTCAACTTGTTCCTGACCTGGGCGCTCCAGCCGTTTCCGGCTAAGGAACATGGCTTCAGTCTTGGAAGTGTTAATTCTCATTACCATTGCTTTAAACTCAGATGCGAACCACTCTAATGTGAGCAGGAGGCCTCCACCTGGTGAAACCAGAAGAACCACATCATCTGCAAAAAGCTGAGACAACAGTCTGAGACCACCAAAGTGGAAGCCTTCTGCCACGTGACTACACCCTCTGTCATCACTGAATCGAAACCATTCTAAAAATTATGCTCAGAATCGCTGACAAAGGGCAGTCCTGGCATGGTCAACACCCACTGGGAATTAATAATAATAATAATGGATTGGATTTATATAGCGCTTTTCAAGGCACCCAAAGCGCTTTACAATTCCACTATTCATTCACTCTCACATTCACACACTGGTGGAGGCAGCTACAGTTGTAGCCACAGCTGCCCTGGTGCAGACTGACAGAAGCGAGGCTGCCATATCGCGCCATCGGCCCCTCTGGCCAACACCAGTAGGCAAGTAGGGTAAAGTGTCTTGCCCAGGGACACAACGACCAGGACAGAGAGCCCGGGGATCGAACCGGCGACCTTCTGGTTACAGATGCGACTCCCAACCCCTGAGCCACGGTCGCCCAGTAATTAGTCAGCCTTATTGCCGTCGATGTGGACCAAGCTCTCGCAATGCTTGTTCCAGGACTGAACGCTCATAGCAACAGCCCAGATACCCCATACTCCCAAAGCACCTCACACAGAATACCCAGAGGGATGTGGTCAAATATCCAAGTCCACAAATCACATGTAGACCAGTTAGGCCTACTCCCACCCACCATCAAATATTCTTGAGAAGATAAAGAGCTGGTCCAGTGTTTCATGACCAGGATGAAAAGTGTATTGTTCCTCCTGCATCCAAGCTTCGACTAATGGTAAGAGTCTTATTTCTAGCACCTTGGCGAAGACTTTGCCAGGGAGGATGAGGAGTGTGATCATCTTACAGTTGGAGCACACTCTCCGGTCCTACTTCTTCAACATGGAAACCACCACCCCAGTCTGCCAATCCAGAGGCACTGTCCAAGATCTCTATGTGACAGATCTCACCCCCAGTGATGGATGAGTCATCCCACATGAGTCTCCAGGTGGAGCAACCTCGAGAACCCCACCTATGGACTCCAAGAATGCTGGGTAATTTAAACTATCATTTGGCACATAATTTTAATCCACAAGAGTAAAAGAGCAGTTCAACAAACGGGATGATAAGTAGTAAACGGACTGGTTCTTATACAGTGCTTTTCTATCTGAGCACTCAAAGCACTTTACACAACTTGTACATTCACCCATTTGCACAAGCACTTTTTTCTAAGTGCTTCCTGTCCAATAATCACATGCATTCATCGGAGAGCAACATGGGGTTAGTATCTTGCCCAAGGCATTTGGCATGCAGACTGGAGCAGACTGGGATCAAACCAGTCTTTGAGTAAATTAATAATTTTTAATTTTATTTATTTATTTTTACCAGATAGCCATATGTGTGCGACTAGTATCTTTTATTACTTGACAGCATCTTTATCTTATTAATGATTAATAACACAAAAACCTTCATTGCACTGACAGATCTACACTTTCTTTCTCCAGTAAAAAGTTTTTCTGCCCATTTAATTGGCCTGTGCACTGACAATATGAAAAAGAGCACACCCAGTGCTCACGAAAACATTAACAGGAAATGTCATCATTACAGAGTAAACTCATCACACTGAATCACACTGGGTGGGATGTGATTTCTCATGCAGGGTGTTTGTTACAGGGTCTGACCTGGCTCCTATCAGAGACAGGAAGGGTCTCTTGTCCTTGTTGTCTGCCTGGGTCGTCTTAACTCCATTATCAAGGATCATTCCAGCCTAAAATAAAAAGACAACAGAAATTGTGAGTTTGTTTGCCCTGTATGTAGAATTTTTAAAAAGACATGGACTTTATTTATTTATGCGAGAGGTAAAGCCGTGTGCTTGGAGAGCAGATCGCTGTGTTCAAGGATTATTCAAAGATTATCACCATTATGAGACGAAACACACGAAGGAATCCAAGAACCCGACTGATGCAGAGCAGGAATAGACTTGAGACTAGCAAAAGGGCTTTTTCACAAAGTTTACACATCCAGGGACAGAGCAGTCAAGACCAGCTTTGTGATTTCCCACAACATTACAAAAACCAATAAGCCTTTGACTGATTTAGAGTTTATCAAAGAGTATTTGGTGGTGCTCTAACACGCCTTGAAAAAAATGAAGGATTTGAAAACGCCCCTCTTCAGGTAAACCAAGATGGACTGTGGGCATTATGGGAAATCTGGAGCTTCAGTTTAAAAACAAAGTGGACAGTTTTCATGTTTTCCTACTTAGTCAAGGACCAGAGCAGCACGGTTACTCATCTTTATACAAAAGAGGTACCAGCAGAACTTTAAGTCGATGTTACAGGTGGATTTTTATTTGTCTCTCAAAGGGGAGAAGTTTCCACACATGAGCAGACATGTGAAGATGTTGGCTCTCTTTGAAGCTACCTTTATAAGCGAACAAGCATTCTCAGGGATGAAGTTTAACAAATCCAGGTGCAGATCCTGTCTCAGTGACACTGTCTCATGCATTTCCACCTCAGATGAACGTGACTTTAATCTGCTTTTTCAAGCCCAAAACAGACCAGATTTCTCTCAGTGAAAAAGAAAAAAGAACTTAAAAACTGCAGATGTAATTAAACTACAAGTAAAAAAGCAACATCTACATCTTTAAAATATTGCAAAAACAGTTTTAGAAATATTGATTAAACAGTGATAAAATGCTGGTACTACACCTATTTCACATTTTGCATAATTGTAATATCAACTCTTACCAGTAGCAGTTTATAAAGAGATCAAATTAATATTGAGAAGAATTGACAGGCCCCCTGGGTAAATTAATTGTTTAGCGCTGATTTAACAAATGGTTTGTGGTTAATTTTGCATGTAACTCTTGTCATTATTTGGAAAAATGTCAAAAGTATAATAAATAAAAATATATATACTGTCAACAAGTTTCCAACTGAAGGTACAATTTTTATTCAGCAAATGAATTTTGAGTTGAAACCACTACCTTCGTCCTGTTTCCCTCCCTTAGCTGCAGGAGAAATGCATGAATGTTATGAAACATTTTTATTGGCTTCTTCAAGCAATAAATCAGGCTCAGTAGCAGAAGACTTCTCCTTTGCACCCTTTTCCAGACACATGTTGAGCAGCCCAGCATCAGGTCGTAATTCGCAGTAAACCAGCAACAGCTGCTAGCTCGTATAATCCCTTTTAGTAAAAACTCTGTTAACTCTTTTGGCCCCAACATATTTCATAGGTTTTTTAAAAAGCTGACCATTAACTTGACCTGCATTACTTTCCGTGGCATTTAATAATTGTAGATGTCAGGTGGCAGTGAAAACCCAAATGTTCCAAAAACCTGTGTTGGATCTAAAAGGGAGTCTATAGGGATTCCCTTTCTAACCTTAAGGAACTGCAGGTTCTGGAACATTTGTGTTTTCGTTAAAACACTCGACTTTATAGTAGAGTTAAAATATTTTACAGCATGCTACAAAAAACACTTTAGTCTTTCATTTCAACTGCATCTTTTCTTGTCTTCGTTTGTCCCTAGCTGACAGTCGACAGGGGAGGTCGTCAACGAAGCGAATACGTTGCCGTGGGTGCCGTAGGGTTTCCATCTTGGTCAGCGATCCACTTCCCGGCCTTGCGATCTTTGGCCTTGACCTTTGCTTGCTCCAGGGTTAGATGTCGTTTTTTAAGATCGTCATCAATTTGCTTGATCCAAGTCTTCTTGGATGCTTGATTCTTCAGCGGGCGGAGAGGTGATGCAGCAGAAGTCGATATCGGAGGCGATGGTTGCTCATGCAACAGACGTGTCCAAACCAGATTGCAGTCGTTTCTTCTGGATCAGCTCTTCCATCGAGGGTTGCTGGTGACATTGACTACGTTTTGTGCTGTTGGTAAGATGGTCGAGGAGGGACACTCTGATAACCTGATGCAAACAGTGGAAGACCTCAAACTTGTTGAGGTCGTGCTTGAGGATAGCAACTGCATAGTAAGTGACAACTCTGGGTTGTAATTAGTCTTAACTTAGAAGTGTGCCTGCTGTGGCTGACAGGCAGCTGTAGCCTGCAGCTGTGTGCTGGGTTTGCCCACGTTTATGTACTTGTTTCCTTTTGGAACAGTTTTCATTATTAACTCCTTTCTTAGCTTACTTCTTAGTTACACAGGTTTGTTAGCATCAGGATGATAAGTCTTAGCTCCTCAACATGCCACTGACTACATCCATATTTTTTATACACTCCAACGTGTCTAAAATGGTAAATGGCCTGTATTTGTATAACGCTTTACTCGTCCCTAAGGACCCCAAAGCTTTACATATCCAGTCATCCACCCATTCACACACAGGTGATGGCAGCTACAATGTAGCCACAGCCACCCTGGGGCGCACTGACAGAGGCGAGGCGAGGCTGCCGGACACTGGCGCCACCGGGCCCTCTGACCACCACCAGTAGGCAACGGGTGAAGTGTCTTGCCCAAGGACACAACAACCGAGACTGTCCAAGCCGGGGCTCGAACCGGCAACCTTCCGATTACAAGACGAACTCCCAACTCTTGAGCCACGATCGCCCCATTAAAATATAATAAAACATCTCTTCCTGTTAATCGAGCCACTTGTATACCAGTGTCACTAGACTGCTCTTCATAAACTCTGCTAACCTTACCATGACATCATGTAAATTTAGTGAGCAGCAGCAAATTGGGGATATACATGTGAGGGGCACAGAGATAAAAATCAATCAATAAATAAATGAAATCAATTTTACTTTTAAATTGTTTTAGACATTACATACAGGAAGAAAATAGGGATGAAGACTATAGAGTGAGAGCCGGGCTTTGAGTGTCATATTATCTCAAACAGTGACAAAGGTTTCTGTTGGACTGAAAAAGGTGACAGGCCTTTAGGTGAAGTGAGGTGTTATTTATAATTCCTTCTGTTTTATAACACTAGTTTATCAAGTTTCAAGGTGAAGCCTCAGCTGACTGATTCCTGTTTGCTTTGCTGAAGTAACATTACACTGTTAACACTGTTGAGACTTGCTTTTGGTTGGCATGCATCTGTCTCTGCTGATATAAGACCAGTCATCATCACAGTCATGCCCCTAAAGCCTGAAAAGAGCTGCAGATTTTCAAATCAATCACCATAGATTTAGGAGGCAAGTAAAACTATGAAAAAATACAGTTACAGAGAACTGGGAAACATTTAAATAAAGGATAAATACACTGCATGAAATGTTCCCGTATCTCACTTAACGAAGCTTTAAATCCAATCATCTGATAAGAAACATTTATTGAAACTTTCCTAAATCAAGCAAAGAATAACCCTACATGCTTCCCAATTTCTAATCCAGCCTCCTGTAGCATTTTCTTAAATAAAATAAAAAGTACCACAACAATAAAAGTATCCCAGTGTGCTGCTTCTAAACAAAGACACTGCCATTGTGTTGCTGTTGAACACTCAACCAGCAGCCCTGAAACAACCTTTTCTCTCACACCAACCTCACATGATTTATGCTCCTGTTAGGATGATCCAAATTAAAAGTGCAGAAGGGAACGAGAGAGTGAGATGGAACAGGAAAGAAATCACTGTAGGGCTCGAGAAAGTAAGGCAATAACAACAGCGCTTCCCTTTCAGCGGTGCCTCATAAATCTCTCTCTGCTCCAGCTGTGCTGTGTTAGGAGCCACAGGTCACTCCAAACTTGGTCCTATCTCACCACCAATCTCATTCCACTCATCTGGCTTGCTTTCCTCCGTTTCTGTTATCTTGACTTTTTCCAACTATCTCTCTTTTTTTCTAACAGTTTGACCATTTCTCAGTTCTTGCACAAAAGTGTGTTCACACTATCACTGTGACTAAGTTACCGGCCACAGCAGATGGCCCCGCCCCTCCCTGAGCCTGGTTCTGCCGGAGGTTTCTTCCTGTTAAAAGGGAGTTTTTCCTTCCCACTGTTGCCAGAGTGCTGCTCATAGGGGGTCATATGATTGTGGGGTTTTCTCTGTATGTATTACTGTACGGTCTACCTAACAATATAAAGCGCCTCGAGGCGACTGATGTTGTGATTTGATGCTGTGTAAATAAAATTGAATTGAAGTGGGGACCACTGTATAACCATCAGTATCTTTGCTGGCTTTGTGGAAAAATGGATCCAATCCAATTCCACCATTTAAGGGAGGACAGGCCATCAGCACCGATGATGACGGCACTTTTAACATTAAGTGTTCATGTTTGGTGAGCTGTGAATTTAGCATTATCTGTGATATTCTTAGGGACTGTATTCTTTGAAATGGTCTACACGCACTTGTAAATGACAAGTGAAAGAAAATATTGCAAAGTAAGCTAACTATATACTATATGACAATTAAAACTCTGGAACTCTGGTCTGTCCTGAAAGAACTGAATCATTCAGCATGGCTTACTGAGACTGCTTTCTGGGTCACAGGCAGGAGGATGGAGGAGTAGAAACAAATGAAGCTGACATTTTTATAGGATCAGCAATTTTCTTTCTTTAGTCTGATGTTCTTTATTATTCACCACATAAAGCGTTACATCAAGTAGGCCCACAAAACACTGTTAAAGCTAGGGTAGGTATAAGTCCTAAGCCCAAAGCTCTTCTCCACTCTTACTTTGAAACACCAAATAAAATAAGCCTGTGCATGTGTCACAGGTTTGATTCAGAGGTGAGTGGGAGCTTGTCATTGTTTGTTTTTTTTACCATGGTGGAGTCTTAAGTAAGAAAACATTTTTCATAAATGGATTGGTTCTTATATAGTGGTTTTCTACTCTACTGGAGCACTCAAAGCACTTCCCATTCATACAAACAAGCTTTCTTCTATGCTTACTATCTAACATTTACACACATTTGTACTCTGATTGATGCATTGGAGAGTAACATGGCCTGGCCTGTATTTATATAGCGCTTTTCTAGTCCCTAAGGACCCCAACCAGTCATCCACCCATAGGTGATGGCAGCTACATTGTAGCCACAGCCACCCTGGGGCGCACTGACAGAGGCGAGGCTGCCGGACACTGGCGCCACCAGGCCCTCTGACCACCACCAGTAGGCAACGGGTGAAGTGTCTTGCCCAAAGACACAACGACTGAGACTGTCCAAGCCGGGGCTCGAACCGGCAACCTTCCGATTACAAGGCGAACTCCCAACTCTTGAGCCACGATCACACCGTGGGGTTAGTATCTTGCCCAAAGATATTTGGCACGCAGACTAAAGCAGCTGGGGATCAAACTGCCAACTTTCTGATGACCTGCTGTATGTTTGACCATAATTAGCTACCCTGAACAATTCGGAACAAACGAATGAACAACAGTGTTTTCACACTTAGTGTAAATTACTGAGAGAGGTCGAACAAAGAAGCTGATGTGTTGTTTGCTAGATTCAACTTTCAGTATACTTGTCGGGCAAAAACAAAATCCATGTTGCTACAAATTTTGGGGGGGACAGGGTTTTGTATGATAAGGGATGCGAATTGATTCCAATATCGATATCACTTATTCATTTAATTCTCTATTGATTGTCATTGCGAAACCAATGAGAGCTATTGGCTCTGTTTTGATAATCAAACACCAAATGAGTCAAATGAAGAACACCTCATTTCAATTATCTGGATGGGTGAGGCCATAGGTTTTGCAAAACTGTGTATTTGGATTGTGAAGTGAGCATTTTAAGTACATAATAGTGGGAGTAAACAAAATAATCATCCAAGCAATCAGATCACCTGAAATCAGTGTCATGGTGCTGGGTCGTTGACCCAGTGTTTTGTGTTTGGCATTATGTTTATTATTATTAGCTCATCTGATGTTTAATTTCTTCATGGTTATCTTTATTAGTATGTAGGTTTCATTCTCAGGGTTTCCAGTTCTGGGTTTATTTCCTGTGTCGTTCTCCTGGTGCTTTGTTTGTGTCCCTGACTTTGTCTTTAAAGGTCTGTGTCTGTTATCACTGTGTCAGCTTGTGTCTTCCTGTCGTCTTGTGAATTAGGATCAGCTGTGCTTCCCTCCTGTGTGTCATTACCTGATTACCTTGTGTGTGTATATAGTTGGTGTCGGTCTGTCTGTGTAACTGTGTATTTCCGTGTCTCTTTTCCCGACATTCTCCGTGCCGTTTTCCCGTGTTTGTATGATTTCAGGTTTGTTCTCTAGTTTTCCTCAGTTTAGGTTATCGCTTAATTTTGTCCTCACTTCTGTTCATTGTCACTCACTGTAAATAAACTCACTCGCCGTTGTCTGATACTTTGGTCCTCCTTCACAACACCACACGACTGCTGCCCCAGCCGTGACACACAGTTGGTTTCTACTTTTTTAATATTGGTTATAATCTTATTGTAGACTGATGAACACTTACGTCTTTAAGAATCCTTTTATAGATTTTATCCTTTCCCAGATTTGTGGAAGTTGTTGTGATAGAGGCACAGTTTACATGGTCATGGAAAGAAAATACTTTGCCAGTACCCAGTAACTTATCTTATCTCCAAGCAGAAGACTGAACTTCTTTTCGTTAGCTCACTTCCTGCTTGCTCTTTCCAACAGTAAATAACTGATTACTTAATGTGTTGAACAAGTAGAGACAAATTCCAACTTTTTATTCATTTTTTAGTCAAATTCCCTATCACAGCTTTCTTTATCTCCCCACAGCAGTTCATCCTCAGACTCACCCTGAAGTTGGAATGGGCTCTGTTGTTGGTAAACTGGCCCATAGGTGTGTGCTCTGTATATCCAGGGGAGTATGACCCATTTGAGGGGCCTGTCGCCAAATGGTGGAAAAGGAACCAGAAGCCTGTTTCCTGAGGGTTTACACACAAATAGACATGTAGTTACAAACAGAGCTGTTAGGATAAAATGTTTTAGTTTACAGTAACTACTTTATCTGTAAAACAAAAACGATCTGTATTTCTGTTCATACACAAACATGTGCAGACTCCTATACATAAACATAACCACAGAATCAGTTTTGCACTTTGCATGTCAGCCTCTGTTTTGCTATTGTTCTTTACAAGTGTGTAAATGAGAAAAGTTCTTATACTGGTGAGGATAATTGACACTTCCTCCCAATGGATCCTGGTGAAATCCTCAAAGTAAGATCATAATTGGCACTCTATCATAGTGAAAGTATGGCAGGGCGTCTGTTGTCTGCTTGTTCCAGACGGTGATAGAAGTATACAGCCATTAATCTGACCTGGCAATGTGGTAATGAGAAAGAGCTCCACCTGGAGAAACAGGGGATATAGGAGGGGTGGGGAAGGGTTGAGAGATGAGAAAGTGACAACTCACCTCCGAGCCTGCAGCCGCACAGTTGATGAGGTTGTTATTAGGGTTGGCAATCCAGAACGTGGAAGTTGCACTATAGAAGAAGATTGTTGTAAAAGAAAAGAAATGTTGGATTTCACATAAATAGTTTAAATCAGTAATGCAGAGGAGAAGAAGGAGAGAAGATAGCTTCTAAATTGTCAGAGTGTTGTATGTGCAAAAATGGACATAATTTACGTCTATGTCTGGATCTGAAATCAGTCCTGCAGGGTGCTAGAACAAGAAGGAAACTCTACACGAGTAAGGACGTATGTTCTGTTCCCAAAATGAGGGAAACTGTCCAAATGTCACTACAGTACACATTTTCTAATGAACTTGGAAAGAAAAGCATCTGGACTTCCTTAAGTTGCTTGAAGACGTTTCACCTCTCATCCGAGAAGCTTCTTCAGATCGAAGGTCAAATGGTGGAGTGGTTGGGGTACTTCTAGCTGTGCTCGATGTCTGCAATGTTGCCTTCTGGTAGTTCGATGTGCTCAGTTCTGACTACCCTCCCTCTCTTTGTTACCATCTGACTACACTTCTTCGATCTGAACAACATTCCGATGTCCTTGCTGCAGATCCTGGTGGTGTGGATCCGTGAATCGATGTATCGTTCATGCCTGACATACAACTTGATATCATACATGTGCTTCATTAGTGCTCCATTCTGTAGTCAGTATCTGCAGCCAGTCTTGTCAGTGATCTCACTGAGGGGGTTCAGGCCTATGCATAATAGTAGTGGGGGCAGAGGACTTCCTTGGTAGATCCCGCATTTGATGGTGACTTGTGCTATGGGCTTGAAGTTGGCCTCTAGTGTTGTACACCCTATCCACACTGAGTTCCTGAAGAAGGCTCTTAGGGTCCTGTTGATCTTGTATAGTTCTAGGCATTCCAGGATCTAGGTGTGGGGCAAGTTATGAGTCCAGACAGTGCACAGGCTGGTGGGCCTGGTCTTACAGTCTTAGATGACTGTTCTGTCTACCAGTAGCTGGTGTTTTGCTCCTATGGTATTCATACTAATTCCTGTTCAGGGACATTTCAGTGGTCTGCTCTAAGGTCCACCAGCCACTGAGCGTTGGCGTTATGTGTTGCATCCTTCTGCCATATGCTCTTCCTGTTTATAGATGTCCTAGGGACCCTTACTGGATGCAGATGCCCCAGTTGGGATTCGAACCCACAACTCTCATAAGATGGAAATGGCTCCAGAACAGCATCAGCATGAAGTAGGTGAAGGAGGAATAATAGATGCATTAAACATACATTACATTTACAGGGTTCTCCTTTTGTCCAGTAGTTCAATATCCATGCTAGAAAGTTTTGCTTGTCATTCAACTTTATTTAGCAAAAAATGATCCTCATGAAGTACCCAATACACACCCAGCAGGTGCATGTAATGATTGGGACAGAGATTGTGTCACCACCTCATATCATGATCACAGAGCTTTTAACCACCGTCTTTATCAATGAACGGAGCTACTGGTTCAGTTATCATGGAGTCACAGGGTTGGAATATCATGAGAATATTTGAAAGCTCTCTCATTATCCGTGCTCTACCTTTCCACCAAGTTTCATGATGTACAAATTGCACTGATCACAGACCTCCACCTCTGCTTTTGCCTTTTGCAGAAGAACAGAGTGTGTTTGCTTTCTTTCACAGTTCTCAACTTGACCTATCTGTTAACATCTCCTCTCCATTATGCAGCCTTAACAATGATTTACGCTTGTCAACTCATCACCCCCTGCTGCAGCTCAATTGAGGTGAGAACGATATTAGCTCAATGTAATCAACGTCTCAACCAGTCCCAATCAAGGCTTAGCCCCCCTCCAGCCTGCTTGATGTGATTTCTGTCACAAGTGATGGGAGGGAGGAAGGTCTGAGAGCTGAGCTAAACGTCACCATGCTCAATTGTGTGACAATGATGTGACTTGCACAGCTCCATTATAGGAATTTGTAGTTAGTCTTAAAATCTTAAAAGGATGAATACAACAACAGTGCAATGCAAAAGAATCATTTACATAAGAAGTCTGCAAAAAACCCAAAACACTTTTACTGTAGGCATGGTAACATGATTCAAGGGAGAGCAAACTATATTCCTCAACCAAGTTAGCTTCTATCAAGGGAAACCATGTCCAGGTTTAAAGGCAAAACTGGGATTTTTTTCAAATTATTATGGTTATAATTAATAACACACATTGACAGTGCATTAATAACATCACCAAATTACTGAAAAACATTATCACTTCCCACTAGTGGGAATACTAGTGCTGGTGCTTATTTTACCATAGAGCAGAGTTAAGAAGAAAGTCACCTCAGTCACGCTGAAAATAGTAATAAACAAATGAATGAGATATTAAAGTGTGCATTTAGTGGAGCACTCTATTGGCTCAGGCAGACCTAAAGTTACTTTAACAGGACACCAAACCAACTTTCTAGCATGTCATCATGTTCCTGACTTGGTGCAAAGCAACCACTTTCTCAATGAGTGTGAATTTCAGCCTTATCCACAAACATTAGTGGAGCTACTTTTCTTCAAACTCTATGTTGAAGCTATTCTAAACAAAAGGAAAGAGTAAATATATCTGCAGGAGAAAAAGTGAAGCATAGAAAGACCATGACCATAAAATGAGGAAACACTACATGTGAGAACAGGCAAAAGTTACTAACATGCAATAGTGGCTTTACTATTCAGTCGTGTCAGCTCTATGGATATCCACTGGAACCATCTGAAAGCCCACAACACTGGCTGTTACCCAGTGACTGAGTCATCACACAATAGTAGCTTATTCATCAGCTTGCACACTCCTGTTTCTGTCTAATAGCCCCACTATAATATATGTTTATCTTTTTATTGTAGAATTAAGCTTTCAGTTCAGGGTTTCGTTTTTGGCCACACTCTTACTTCAAAGAGGGAAGTGGATTTCAACTCACCTCTGTCAAGACTGTAAGTGACTCACTGCCTGTCAGTGCATTGTTGAACAATATCTTACTACTTGCAAAGAATGTTTTATTAAGTTTTATATACAATATATACACAAGTTGCTTTTTAAAATAATTTACCCATTAATCATACATCAAATAACTGAAGTATAAACAAAATGCAATTTTTAAATAGCGACGTAACAAAGGGAAAAATCCAAACCTACCCCTCTATAAAAACCAATTATTCCCTCAACCTAATAACTTATTGTGCCATCGTTATCGTTGAAATAATCAAGCAGTTTCAATAACTGGCAATGAGTCTTTCACTTCACTTATATGCAGAATTGCTCCAACTGAAAGGGTTTTTCAGCATGAACGGCCTCTTTAAAGCCACGTCAAAGCATCTCAGTATTTACATGGCAGGACGGTTAAATATGACTATCAACAGAAGATGACAAGATAAGACAGAAAGGCAAAAGACACATGCAAGACTCGACGTATTTCTAATAACTCAGATCATTTTTTTGTCTTGTTACTTTCTTGAATTTCTTGAAATTCAGCATTTGCACCGTGTTAAGGTTGCTGCCAGTTTTATCCTGAACTATTAACTGATGAAGGTCTCGTATCAAAACTAAGCAAATAAAAATAGTCACTGTGTGGGAGTCAGCAGTAGAACACTGAAACATATCCATACAATGTAGAGGTAGAAATAAATACCTTAGTAGAAAAATGTAATTGCTTTTCATTCACTCATGTGTGTTGATGCTTAAAAAATCAAAAAACCAAAAAAGGAAGCTTGAAGCATCTTCACTGATGCTTATATAACCAAGTGCCATGTCTTACTGTTTAATCTGAAGGGCATGATTTGGATGAATGATTTTGCCCGATGCATACTCACACTCATGCACATAAAAACACACATGCTCAAAAACAGTGAAAGCACTTGAGCCCTAAATGACTGTTTTAAGTAACTGTTTTCATCCCCGTCATGCAGAGACAGTGTGGTGAGATAGAAAGTCATGTGACCTGGACTAAGCTGCTATGTATTCTGAGTGGGTCTACCTTACAATACAAAGCACCTTGTTGTGATTTGGCGCTGTATAAACACAATTGCGTTGAATTGATGATAGGATGAGCATGTAGTTCTCAACAGTCTACATTCAAAAACCGTAATGTCTCTGTTTTGTTCATAATGGAAAGGAAGTGATGTGAAGACATGCTGCTTGCATTTTTATAGTCCAACATCTGGTCATAATTTTACTAAAATACCTAATAATGGATGGATGGATAGCTGCTACTTAATATTTATCATCGCTGGAGGTTTATGCGTCATTGTTTGACACACACAAACCAGCTCAGCACTGTGGCACCAGCACAGTTGTTACCTGTAAATGTGGTATCAGATCTAAAGTGCTTTACAAAATAAGTGATTCTGGATTCTCCAGTGCAGCAGTGGACCATCGATCCTCGTTTTTGTACAAACACGTCACATCTAACAATGAGCCCCTTGGACTGCTCTTCAGTTTTAGTGTCAGTTGGTTCAGTCGTTACTCAGCCAACACAAGATGCAGCTAGTAACTGCAACCAACCAAATGAATTACATCACAAGATGGTGGCACACTTGTTAAAAAACTAAATACTGAAACTGCTTTTTAGAACAGGTATCATGAACAATGACCTTTTAAAAAAAGAAGACAGTGTAGGCACTGTAAGTACACAGTTACAACTAAACAAGAGAGTCTAAAAAATCTATTTAAAACATGTCGTTTATGTGCAATCAAACTTTCTTTGTGTACCTGCAATCTTGACGTGGATTGGGCACATATCCTGGATATGCTCCATCAGTGATGTCACGACACATTTTGCTATCTCTGTCTGAAGGCAGCAGGGTCCCTGCTCGAACCATCAGACCCAAACAGTGCTCAAATGTATTCCTTTCTTCTGGACCATCCTCCGTGAAGAAACAGTGGCCTAGTGTGTCATATCCCACCACATCCTTTACCTGGGAGGCAACACAGTACATTACTGATTGTAGAGTAGGTCACCATAGTGCATGGGGTCCACTTCAAATCTAACTGTAGAAAAAAATGTCTATAACAAAAGTGTGAACTTTCTAAAGTGTAATTGCTCATCAGAAGCTCCATTATTTATCAAATGCGTTTCTTTTGTGGCTTAGGAAGCAAATTCTTGCACCAAATTTAACCCAACTTCAGCTTTGAATTCTAGTCAACGAAAATGGTTTAGTGCAGTGGTTCCCCAACTTTTTCATGTTTACGTGAGATGAACCGCAGAATGATGACAAAATACTGTTAATCTGACTGTCTGCAGGTTTTACACGCAGTTACTGTCCCTCCACTTACAAATAATGGTGTCATTATTTTACATGTAGTTTTTCCCCTCTGTAATAATGTTCAACATTGCATCAATACATTTTTCAAAAAATGCCTCTCTGTGCAAAATGGGTTTAAAAACATAAACAGCTGTTGGATCCTGTTAGTCCGTGATTTGAACCAGGGGAACAAACTGTGGCAGGATCAGACTGATGTTATTTGTATCCTGCTGTAACTTTACTGTATAAAGAGCAAACATCTCCAACATGTCAGGAGCAGTTAGTCATTACAAGAAGTGTTTGAACTAAAAATCAAGAATGTGGGATCCTGTTTGTCTGTGATTTAAACAGCCTGGCGAAAACCAACCCTGCAGGGAGACCTACCTCAGCACCTGTGCAGGTGAAGCCAAAGGGAAGATTTGCTTCACCAGATTTTCTAGTCTTTGGTTTAGAATGAAGTTGGTTTGGAAACATATTCAGCGACGTTTCATCTCCTGCTTTGCGTTTGTGTGGGCGCCGCGTGCTAGCAGTGTCCAAGATTTCTGTTTTTTTCCCCTTTTTATACCGAGCCCCCCCTGCAATGGCTCTGCAGCCCCCTAGTGGGGCGGGCCCCACACTTTGGGAAGCTCTGGTTTAGTGGATAAATGCAAACTGATAAGTGGATGAAGTTAGGTTGAATTTGTGCTTGTTATTCGCTTTCCCTTTTCAGCCAAATTTAGGATACATCAGTTTAAAGTCTGTGAAAGGCTGAACAAATGTAGCCAGACAGAAACACACATGGGCAGCCGGTGCACGACAGAGTAGCACTAATGCTACACAAGCGACAGCCGGGAATCTTGGAATATGATGACCAAAGAAGCAACCTGCTTGATATGAACCTGAAAACTGACTCAGCTGGACCCTTTCAATTTGGAGGAGTAGCCACTCTGAGTCCAACATGAATGACTCCTCAGCCTATCACTAAGCCAGAGCCTAGACACCCTTTAGAGATGTCAGTGGTCTACCCAGACCCTGTGACCATAGGTGACAGTAAGAACATTAATTAACCGCTTCAATTTAATACTCAGCTCTCTTCACCACAACAGAGATAATCTCCCGCTCCACTCTTCTTTGGCTCATGAACAAGACCCCAAAAGATACTTATAGTCGTGCACTTGTCTTTAATAGCTTGAATCCCCCTATTATCCATGTCACACAGTGCCCAATTTCCTGCGTTTCAATTCATATATTTCATATACATCTTCATACAAACTGTTTCTTTAAGAGATTTAAAATTATATGCCTGTCACTATAATAATGATTTTATGAGACATTACTGGAGACTAAAAAGAATATAAAACCCTTTAAATGAGGTCATCGTATCTGCCTTAGTAAGAGTCACCAACAACAATAAGTACGGCGCTATACCAATACAAAAACACTCACTAACATTACCAGGGTGCTTCTGAGCCAGTGAAGGTTAAGAGCTGCAATAATGACTCTTAACAATAAATTACACATTTTTATGTATGCGTTCTTATATATGCATTAATACATACAAAAAATACAGAAATAAATTATACAACTTCCTAACTGACCATCAGTCCATTGGAGCCGTGGATAGTGACGCAGCGGGAGAAAGAGTGGTGAATGGATAAATCGCTGACAGACGTTGGAGGGTCATATTTTCCCCTCTCATCCACATCTCCATTCATGTGAAAATGGATAGGATAGTGTCCCATGGTCTGCTGGCCCATGTGCTGCAGCTCCATCCCAGATATGTGGACTGCCCTAAAACCATGCTCCACCTGGTGATGACAGTGGACACATTTCAGTCAGAGAGCTCCAGTTACTGCATCAATCAGACACGAGCAAAAAAACAAAAGTACATGAAAAGCAGGACTAGCAACACTAGAGTCAGATTTAGATTTTTAAATCATTATTTTATGTTTTTTTATTCTAATGTTCAATTTCTTTGTTTTGCACATAGACTGTAAATAAAAGATGGACGTAGCTACCAGTGTTGGGTGTAATTTATTTCTTTGTACTTTTTTACTGTGATCACATGACATTGTTGATTAACGCAATAATGGGACTCCAGTTTGGTCATGTGAATCAGGGCTCTTAAACTTGCGGCCCAGGGGCCACTTGCATTAACATATGAATGTTGAGAAATACAGTGCAATTTGTCCCTTGAAGTGACTTTTTTGTTGTTTGTTGTTGAGTGTAATGTTAGGATAAGTTCTTTAAAAAGCAAAAAATTATTTAACATGACGGCGATATGAGCAGAGCGCACAAACATGTTGAGGCTGAGTTCAGTGAGCGAGTCAAAAACTAAAGTGAACACTTAGGTCTTCATTTTGATTTTGTTAAATACAAACAAAACGATAGCAGAAGTGCTGCCACGTGTCTGGCCACAAAGAGAGGACCGATGTGTTTATTTGGTAGTTCAATGTAAGGCTTCAGTTAAGAGTGAGGGAAAAAATGTTCACGTTTGCGGTTTTGTCTTGTTATACAATATTTGAAATTTAAAAAAACAAACAAAATGCTACATTTTAGGAAATATTTCTCAGTGTTTTCATGTTAGTTTTTTTGCATTACTTGAACACTACAGTGGCTCTCACATGAGATGACAGTGGCAGCAGGGGCCCACAGCTCATTTTAGTTTGAGACCTCTGATGGAGAGTCCTCGTCACAGGTTAATTATGGAGTTCCACAGGGTTCAGTGCTAGGACCAATTCTGTTTACATTATACATGCTTCCCTTAGGCAGCATCATTAGAAGACATAGCATACATTTACACTGCTATGCAGATGACACCCAGCTCTATCTGTCCATGAAGCCAGATAACACACACCAATGAGTTAAACTGCAGGAATGTCTTAAAGACATAAAGACCTGGATGGCCGCTAACTTTCTGCTTCTTAATTCAGATAAAACTGAGGTTATTGTACTCGGCCCTGAAAAGCCTAGAAATGTGGTCTCTAACCAGATTCTTACTCTGGATGGCATTACCTTGGCCTCCAGTAACACTGTGAGGAACCTTGGAGTCATTTTTGACCAGGACATGTCCTTCAATGCACATATTAAACAAATATGTAAGACTGCTTTCTTCCATTTGCACACTCACTGAAACTCCCTGAAAAGCCTTCAGCTGATCCAAAATGCTGCAGCAAGAGTCCTGACAGGGACAAGAAAGAGAGAGCAGATTTCTCCTGTTTTGGCTTCCTGTTAAATCCAGAATTCAAAATCCTGCTCCTCACATACAAGGTCTTAAATAATCAGGCCCCATCTTATCTTAATGACCTTGTAGTACCATATCACCCTATTAGAGCACTTGGCTCTCGCTCTGCAGGCCTACTTGTTGTTCCTAGAGTATTTAAAAGTAGAATGGGAGGCAGAGCCTTCAGTTTTCAGGCCCCTAGTTATGCTGCAATAAGCCTACGTTGCCCTTTAGCCATTGAGTGTTTGTTTTTCACTCACTATGTATTTATACACCTCTCTGCATTTAACCATTAATTATTATTAGTATCTAGCTCTCTCTCTATTAATGTAGGATCTTTATCTTATAATAGAAAGCACCTCGAGGTAACTGGTGCTGGTGCTATATAAATAAAATTGAACTGAATCATGTATGTCTTGTAATGTAGTGTAATGTAACTCATTGCAGTACTAAACTCAATAATTACATCATGGTTACAATGATGTCATTCTTCAGTTCTCTGCCAGCCGGGCGAACAGAAAGAAACATGTTTTTTATTTCCTGGACACTCTCGCGGCTACAATCAGCTGATTTCTGTGCATGTGTGGGAGGTAGAAAGTGGTACAGAGATGCAGATTTTGAGTAGCGGGTATAGACATGACTTTTTTCAAGTGCAGAGAAGGACAAGAGTGAGACGGTAAAGTGGGAGATACTGAATGACTTTTTAAAGTAACGAGTGATGTGTAATACGTGACTCTTCCTGAGTAATGACCCCAACACTTGTAATCACTATTACAACAGCCATTGTTCAGTGAAAACTTTAAATCAATGTAACAAAACTGGAACAAGACAAATCCCCGACTCCCGCGTTGAAATACGCATGTCTGCAAGCATCTTCACAGCCTGGTAGATAACAAAACACAAACAAACAAACATGCATCGTTTTCTTCCAGGTAACATGTTTGTAATAATTAGTCACACTTTTGGATCCTGATAAGTCCTGAAATTTGGCAGGTTGACATCAGTGTCTGCTAGGCCTCACCTCTGCTAATTCGAGTCACCACATTTGTTTCCACTTCACTGAAGTATTTTTAAAGGAGTTACATGATCAACGACATAACTTGCTATTAAAGCAGCAACAATACTACTACGAGAGAGGAACAGAACAGGACGTTAAAATAATGAAAACACTGAAATTTGGACAAATAAAAGATGAAGTTACAGACAGGTATGGGTTGATGTGGAGAACGAAGCAGGATGGCAGATGCCAGGAGACTCTGTGACGCCATGCAGCCATGTCCCAAAAAACCCAGAGAATCATGAGAACCAACACTTCTTGCAGTCACACTGGTTTTCATTACATCATAGTGTTTGTGAAAAGGCTAAAAAATGAAAGAAATATCACCCGGATCACAGTCAGCGACATTCAGCTTGCGACCAGCTAATAATTCTGGAGATGGGAGGTTTTCACACGACAGGACTTGTCCTGAGGCATTTAGTGTTTCTCACCCTCTGTGTGTGTTATGCTATTTCATGCTCTACACACACCCATGCATGAGAAATATGTGACATGAGGCTGTGATGGAAATTTATAATGGAATATGATAGCTTGCCCTGGGGAAAGGGAGGCATTGAGGCAGCAGGAAGACAACCACACACTCCCCCCTCTCCTTCCTGCGTCAGTGTCTCTGTTGCCTTTTTCTGATGATAGGGTGCACGAGGCTGACAGAAAGAAGGACGTTTCAGTGATGAACACATACAGAGGCCCGAGAGTCTTAATGAGCCTTAAACTAAATTAAGATTTTAGATGTTTATGTGGATTATTTGCTGTAGTGGTGCATTAACGTGCAGGAAGTCAGAAGAAACAAAAGACTAGCTTCAGTATAACAATGATGCTCAAAAATGTGTTTTTTAAAGGATCTTTTTAACTTATTGCCTTTAATATGCTCTAAACACACATTCCTACCAAAGCAGCAACATTTCTATTGTTTAAAATATTTTAAATGTATAATACATATTACACCTATAATGTGCAAAGCACTCTGGGTGCAATTCAGAGCTGCTATTTCTAATGACCCAGAGTTTTAGTGTAAAAACATACTTTGAGTGCCACCGAGCTGCATTTAGTTGTGATTTCTGGCAGAGAGAAAAAGTGTCGGCTGTGAAGGCTACGCAGAAAAAATGACAGAGCAGGAGCACGACTTTTGAAAAGTCAGCGTCCAAAAGAGCTGCTGCTGTGTCCTTTTCACTTTTCTCCCAATTTATTTGACGCATTTAAAAGAGCTCAAAAACAGTGCAGGTTACAAACAGTGACAATTACCAGATTCTGCACTTGTGTAGAAAATGATCATCACTGATTATCGCTGTGCGGTTCCTGAGCAGAGCTCATTAGTGAATGGTAAATGGACGGATTCTTCTGTAGGCTTTTCACAGTGCTTCATACAACATGCCTTTTTAAAGCCATTCATACAGCCACTTCTTCTATGCTTAAGCTCTTTCTAGTTACCATTCACACACATTCATGGACGCATCGGAGAGCAACTTGGGGTTAATGTCTTGCCCAAGGATGTTTGGCATGCAGAATGGACCAGACGGGGATTGAACCACCAACCTTCTAATTCATAGATGACCTGCACTACCTTCTGCCCTTGGGAAGAGGGATCTAGGATTAAGACTGGTTCTTAATTACGCAGAGCATGCTCTGATGCACCTGTAACATTTGCTTGAGTGCAGATGTTCAAACAGCTGGTGAGACGAGTCCTTTAGGATGCAGTGTACTTTCTGCAGGCAGTGTAATATGCACATGTCTTCAAGGGCAGGCAGCTGTGTGTTGTTTATCTTTTGTGAAGGTTTATGACTCTGCAGTGTTCTTATCTGCTGCGGAGTTGTTTCCATATCAGGTCAGCATGTCGTGAGTGAGGATGCTTTGAATGGTGCAGCAGTACAAAAACACCAGAAGGCTTTAAGCCACTCAGGGTGCACAGGAAGTGCAGACTGTTTTAGAGGGACACAGTGTCCATGTGAGGTCTTCTGTGATGTGTGTACCCAGAAACCTGAAACAAGAGACTCTCCACATTGTTGGTGTTCAGAGCCAGATTATTATGACTCTGAACATAGAAGATAAAATAACCTCTTGTCTGTATGCACACTTCTCTCCATTAGATGATCCGTCCTGTGTTTTCTTTAAATGCAATGAAGCTGTTATGAGATGATCAACAGTCATATGTGTACTGAGAACAGAAAGGGCTCAAAAACAGTATGATGGAGCTCCTCCCCCAAGTAAGAGTTTGGAGGAGCAGTAGGGAACCTGAAATTCGTTCAGTGTTATCCAACTTAGTCTGGTCCAGGTACTCAGATGGATAAAGACACACTAGGTGTCACAATACAGTGTCCAGCAAATGTGTGCAAGTCAGTAATTATGGAGCACGATTCCATCTGTGAGCATGAAAGGACAAATATTCTTCCTCTGTGTCTCTGAGGAAGAGTACTGGACTTGTTGGTATACAGTCTGAGTAATGTCTTTTATGTTTTCAAATTCAAATTGGGACCCTATGTTCATCTAGCTGTAGGATCTACAGATGGGACCAAGGCTTGTCCAACCACCTGACAGTTTTTCAAATGTTGACAAAAGCTAATATATCTGTTATCGTCAATGAAAAATGTATTTTATTAAAGCTTGTGTTACTAAATAATCAGGTTTCCTTATAAAGTTCCAGAGTAAATGATGAAAAATGCTGCGATTGGCTAGAGTCCTGGTCAAACACACAGCTGTGGTGTTTGGTATGGTTTGTGGAGGTAGAGGTGGGACAGTATGGCTGAGCAGAAACACTTTAAAGCTGGGCAGCTGTAAAGCACTGGCCTGGGCGTGTGCACTAATCACTCCATCTCTGGGGTTACTGAGGCAAACATGCTTCACTGGTTCCAACGTACCTCAGTAACAGCGAACCGTCGGGTCACAGCCAACGCAGAAGGCAAAGACTTTGGAACAGATGTGGGCAGGCACACTCAGGTGCTGCCCTCTATGTGAAGTATCTGCTTCACACCCCAAAGCACCGGGATACATGGGATACACATACGTGGGATTGACCATCCAGTTCTTTACACCAGTGGGAACCTGAAATTCGCTAAAGCATGATACATGGTAAAAGAGTGTTTGGCAATCTGGTGGCTGATTTCCTATGGCGAGGAGTAGATCAGGCTGGATAGATCCCAGGCCTAAGTTAGGCAGTGGGTGGATGTGATGGCAGGGTATCGCCTGTGGATTGGTTGTAGGAGGGAATGGGACGGCAGAATGGCTGAGGGTGTGGCACACCTGGAGTGCATTTACTAATTTCTCTGTGTAGTAGCTATGAGGGCGCAGGACGAGGAGTTTTGGCAGAGCACGCGAGCAAGAATGCACCGAAGCTTGGCAGCTTTATACCGTTTTCCTGTGTATGTGTGCAGTAATCACTCCCACTCTGTGGAGCTCTGCAGTTCCTGAGAAAAGTAGCTGTCATTGGTCTGGAATAAAACGTTTTTGTTGCTTGAATCACAGGTCATAACCTTCTTTTTAACAGGTTTTTTTCTACTCTTGGGTCCATATGATGTAAAATGTGGTCATATCCCTAACTTCACCTCAGACAGCTGAGGCAGAAGCCCTGCATATCTGCTTTTACAATCTTATAAAAGGATTATCATTATCATCATTAAGCAGATGGCAGAACACTATTCTATAGTATAGCCCAAGAATTAAAGTATGAAGCTGGGAATAAATGGCTACGACAGGTTCTCTTTAAAGGGATCGTTTTTCCTCCTTTTCAAGCCTGTTCACACGGTGTTGCCTATTCTGCAAACGACAGCTAACAGAAGAGTTTACCTTCAAATGTCCTCCGAAAGTGTCAAAGTTGAAGAACTTGCAGGCCTCATTGCCATAGCAGCTGGGCTCCATCTCACCACGAAGCAGGATATTACGACTCAGCAGGCCGACCTCGGCCCTCATGTCTACCCCATCCACCTCCTCTCCCATGTGGATAAACTTGGCTTTACCTGCATACACAGAAAACATGCACAGTAAAAAAGAACCGTTGGTGTGAAAACACACTGACCTACAACACATCAGTGTCAGAGACAAAGACGACGAGTTCAACTCTGAGTCAACCACAGGAGCACTTCTTTACCTCTGCCTTACCCACACTCAGACTGAACTTATTAACATCCACGCTGCACCTGCTGATAACCTTGTTGGCCAGTGAGGACGACTTTCCTCAGCCTGCTGCAACCAAAAGGCAGCGTGCCCTTTTACTCCTTGAGCAGTTGCAAGGTTTAAGGGCCTATTTCTGTGGAAATGCAACTACTTCATCAATGTGGTATTGTCCTTTCTTTTAGTCTGACGTTGCCCATCGCTTTTTGATGCCCAGTTCAGATCCCATAACACAGACGCAGGTGCTTAATCAAGTCAAAAAGCACAAAACAATTTGTGCAAACATCAAATGTAACAATTTAATGTAGGAGAATCAGGGAGTTGGAAACGAGATAGAGCCAGTGCAATTCCAATCCATTACAGTATCAGTTTTTTCCTACAAAGCCACCAAAAGAAATCAATAGCATCACAATATCTACAGATGTAAAGAAAGAAAGAAAGCATTAAATAAGAATCATCCTGAAGTTCACAGTGGGTATTTTTGGAATTCAAAATAACAATAACAGCATCAACAAAGTGTTAAAACATTTAAAAAGACTAGAATGTAGAAAAACAGCAATTAGTTAATCCTGTGGCTGCAGTAGTTCTTATAAGTTAAAGGCAGGATTAAAAAAAAGACCTTTTACAGGTAAGTCTTCCAACCACACAGGCACAAACCCAGGTGTTTGCTTTCATGGCCTGTCTCTCAATTTTGTTCAGCAACAAGGTTAAAAATGCTAAATGGCCTGTATTCGTATAGCGCTTTACACTACATTCAGTCATTCACCCATTCACACACACTGGTGATGGCAGCTACATTGCAGCCACAGATACACTGACAGAGGCGAGGCTGGGCCCTCTGACCACCACCAGTAGGCAACAGGTGAAGTGTCTTGCCCACGGACACAACGACCGAGACTGTCAGAGCCGGGGCTCGAACCGGCAACCTTCTGATTACAAGATGAACTGCCAACTCTTGAGCCACGATCGCCCCAAAAAGACAGGTTACACCTTGACCAGTTCCCCAACATTCAAGAAGAAAATTCTCTGATTATGGCTTTGGGAACACCAGCACAAGTCACGACGCTGACTGATTCTTTGGGGGGAAAGGCAGGAGACCATTCTGCTTATCCAAGATGGACTCAGTCACTGTGCCATCATCTATGAGTTTGGGGCATTTTTGATCAATGCCACCATGATAGTGTTTTTGAGTCAAAATTTATTTGGAAGCCCATTTATGCTCTGACATGTAATCACTGTAATATTATTTGTCAGATACTTTCATGAAAAATGCTCCAAAGGTACCAACAGCAGGTACAAAACAACAACAAAGTGTTTCTGAATTCTGCAATCGTTCTAAAACGCTGTAGCGAGCAAAAAACCCAAAGCATCCCCCACACCTACAGTCACACTGGGCCTCATAGGCAAGCTACAGTATTATGTTTTTTGTAATTAAAATAAAGCCTTGGAAGGACCATTTATACCTCAGTAAAAAAGCAGTGAAGGAAAAGCAAAAATGATCCCATGAAAAGCAGTGAGAAGTAGAAAGGACAACAAGATCAGAGTAAGTGGAAGACAGCTCTTAGAAACGATAACAGTTCTCGTCCGCCCTCCTCCACATACATATCCTCAACAACACAAACGTGCTGATTAGAAAAACTGAAGCCAAGCCAGCAAAAAACTGTCAAAGAAATATTCAAGTGTGAAATCTGAGAGAGTGAGGATCATACACCCACACATGCTTAATCTCTTTTCTCCACCTACTCCCTCCACCAGAGCAGCCAGAGCTTAAAAAGTACAAAAGAACATTTTCATTCTGATTTAAAGCATCAACAGCCCAGACTTCAAGGTTTTAGATCCCTGTTCTTTACAATGCAAACAAAAGAAGAGTTACTGAATGCTGCAATTTCTTCTGCATTACAAAGGGATGCGCTAAAGAGGTTTCACTTGTATTTGCTCAATAAAAAGCAATACATTGTTTTAAGTTGGTTACCTGCAGCAGTACCGTATACTTCTTTGCGATCCCTTTGACGCTGTTGACTCGCAGATAGCACTTTGCACACTTTAGCCTAGTGACTGGTGATTGATAGGGGTCACCGCCAGCAGCATTCAGTGACTACTCACAATTAATCGTTTGCAGTTAGGACAGTCAGGAACTGTTCCCCTGAAGGAAAACAAGCCTCTTACCCCACTGGGAGAAACCCCAGCGTACAGGTCAATCGCCCCATCTCTCACCGAGGCAATTCCATGCTGGTAAAAGTCCAGCCCTTCTCCAGGAGACTGGTTTTTGAGTCCAAGAGATCCACTGAAGTGAGCACAAGGTTAACTCGTATCGTCCAACATCAGACACCAACTGGGGCTCTTACGTCACCAGAGCGATGAGTTGTGAGGAAGTTGTAGATTTGACCTCTGACTGCACACTGCACCTGACTCCTACAACACCTCCTCCAGGTGATGAGCCAATGAGAGGGCCGCACCTCATAGACTTAGGCCTGTGAGCTCAGAACTGGCTCCATGGTGGGGCCCTGTTAATCTTGTCCTGGGCACTATAGTGTGGTCATGGACTCAACTGAAGCTACCAGGGGCAAAAGCCCTCTACAACATATCTCCTGGGATCACTGGGACACACAAACCACCATGACTCAAGGAGGCATAACCAATATGCCTGTTAGAACTGTCAAATGTTCAGATGATTGAAGTCATACTGATAAATAGCCTCAGGCTGTCTCGCTCTCTTTCTCATCTATCTCCCAGCTCTCTGCTGGGACAACAAAAACAACACTCTTCCTGTTTGTGTATAACCTCAAGGGTGGAGGACAAACTCGATTATCAGCGTGTGTTCAAAAATAGTGCTGCAAAGTGGCACGTGAGCAGGAATTAATGTAACAGATTATAGTCGTGCTGAGAGTGACAAGAGCTCTGAGGAAAAGCCTCGGGCTGGTAAAAGCAGGGCTCTCACTTAGCAAAATAACAAGTGATGTCAGAGACCTAAGGAAAAAAGAGAGCGCTACTAGGTCTGATATTTTTATGCAGCCATGCAGAAAAGAAATTCCAGCAGCTTCAGTGGAGACTTGAAAATAAATCTGTTAATACTGAAATGCAAACTTATCTTTTTGGTGTGTGAATTAGTGTCAGGAATTGACAGGTAGGAAAGAAGATGTCCTGCCAGTTTTAGCTTCTGCAAGCACCAGGGGCTTTTCCAAGGGACAAACAGGAGGGCTGACAAAGCTGACCTGAAGAGCTATAGCATGTGAATGCAGCGAGACAGAAAGAAAAATAGTCTGAAAGTGAATGTTTTCATATCAGTATGCGTGATGGTATCCAAGTGTGTGTGTGCCAACATGAATGGGCTCAGTCAAGAACATACAGTCCTCCAGGATACAGGCTAAGACTTTTCCTTGGCCCTGAGTCAGACCAAACACCTTCCACCAACTCCCACACACTGCTATAGGCTGTCTCCACCTGGCCTCTATCACACTGCATATTTAGAAATACACATACATACCCACAGAGGATGTGTTACCATCCTTTCACTCGGCTTACATTCATTTCCTGATATCTTTTTCTAGCTCTAGTTCCATAGTGATGAACTATCCTTACTCTGGCAAGTCTTGGTTTAATGATTTAAGCAACATGGAACTGTCCTCTATAAGGGAGGCAAGTCCTCACAATGTGGCAAATACACAATTGTCATGACAGGAGTCCTAGATAAATAAATACATACAATAAAAAAACTAAACAATAAATAGCAACTTCAGTGCCTCAATAAAATGTCTTTACATGCTGTGGGTAAAAAACAGTTGATCTGTGCTTGCAGGTAAGTGAACATCAGAGAAAGTGAAGCCTGTGTGACCAAATGGACATTTGTGCATTAGGTTAAAACTATTGTGATGTGCATCAGCGAGACAGGACATTTAATTGGTGAAGCAAACTTCTTTTGGCTAACGTTAGCCTGATGGATCACAGGCCAGCTAATGTATCTAGGCTGGCTACGTTGTCTATACGCTGCATGATGATCTTGTAACTTGGCTGGCCATCAGAAGATTCACAGTATATAACCACATACAGTTATACCTAACATTTACATCATCCAAGTGACTTTGTGAAGAAGTCCAGATGAACAGAATTAGCTTTTTGGAATTTCCTTAATTTCCTTACATGTATCGAGACATTTTAACAGTAACAGTTAGTTGGCTAATCCTAGATTGACTGTTAGTGTTACTGCTACCAAATGCTAAAGTCTAATATGACTTCATGATAATAACTTACCTCTACAATAATCGTCAATATGGAGATAAATTAGCCAGCTAGCTGTAACTTAGCTACAGTGCAAGAATCTTGTGTGCAAGTCAACATTATTGTTGCAAGTGAAGAACAATAGTGCAGGACAGACTCGTGCACATCTTATCATTTTCATTTTGTGGCCAGTGGAGGAAAAAATAGAAACAGAATGCTGACTGCAGCTTACCTAATGACTAGGTGTGACATGAATTATGCTAAATTATGGTTCAGTGGGAACAGTAAACTGGCTGTGCACTTGGCAGTCTGAAAGCATTCGTTGCCAGCTCAGGGTGTGTAGTGTACAAACTGGTCTGAGGGTCACTCTTGCTTGTGCTGTTGTTGCGCCACCAGTTAAATGTGACAAGTGACAACAACGGTTCCTAAAAGCTTTATATTGTAAGGCAAACACATTAGAGCACCAACAATAATTATTAGTTGATAAAATGATGCCACAGGATCACACCTGCCATAATGCCATGTTGTTCTCAGACCACACCTGAATCAGTTGTGTTAAGTCACTTCAAAAGAAACACCTTCAAATGTTCAAAATGTTCACATTGCACACTCCGATTGCTTTTGCTTTGAG